TTGTGTTCTTTCCCACTGCCCTCTGTTAGCTCTCACTGCTATTCTGAGCACACAGTTCTACACCCCTGTGATTTGTTAGAGTAATGAGCTATGGCTTGTTTTCAGTGTGAGAAAGTCAGCTTAAAAATAGTCCTATGTGTGGGTGTGTCTTTCCCAGTGCGCCCCCCCACCTTTGGTTGTCTGCTCTAATTCATATCAGAATGAGAGTAAATGTATTTTTGTCCTGAAAGATCTCTGTCTCTTTCTTCTGCTATGTGTATCCCTCTCCACCTTTTACAAATGCCAGTTATCGAAATTGTGCTATTTTGGGGATTTTTCTAGAATGTACCTAACAACTATTTGTTTTTGCAAATGGTACTGTTGACTTGCTCACATGGTTGTAGCTAGTGTTTATCTTGTAAAAAAATTTTACATATACAGCAATCCTCAAATTTTGCCGTGTGACCTGAAATTTCTAAACTGAAATTAAGTAACAGTAGACCATTCTCAGTTTATGTGAGAGACATCAGTGCATACAAGTTTTTTCTTGTTCTGACAGGGTGCTGGGCACAGTGGCTCATGCCTGTAATCCCAGCACTTTGGGAGACTGAGGAGCAAGCATTGCTTGTCCCAGGAGCTTGAGACCAGCCTGGGCAGTATAGTGAGAGCCCCATCTCTACAAAAAAAGTTTTAAAAATTAGCTGGGTGTCGTGGCACGCACCTGTAGTCCTAGCTAATCAGGAGGCTGAAGCAGGAGGTTCGCCTGAGCCCAGGATGTCAAGGCTGCGATGAGCTGAGATCATGCCACTGTACTCCAGTCTGGGTGATAGAGTGAGATACGACTCCAAAAAAAAAAAAAAAAAAGAGTTTTTCCTGTCCTAACACCCCCCATCTTTTTCCCCTTAAATGTGGAATCAGTGCAAAATGTATTAGATTGACAACTACATTCTATATTGTATTAAGTGGCAAATAATATTCCATAATCATCTTAGAGAACTCTTTTTCTTCTTAGTGATTTACTCCCTATGTTTGAAAACCAGTTGCTTTATTTAAAAGTATTGATATAAATTTTTTGTTTGAATATTCAAATCTGTTTTTACAAATGCAAATTCAGAAGAATGGTGATAAAAACAGGCAATTATAAGAATAGCAGCTGTAAATATTCACATGCTATGAGTATGGAGAAAAATCTATATGCAACAGTGAAAACCTGATTCTGGAAACAATTTTAAGTTTGATGACTCTTCTAAAGCCCAAGAAGACACTAAATCTGATAATTCCAGGGTTATGGTATGTGGCATGCCTGCTGACCAGCTGTTCTGAATTGACTTTGGAAGGGCAGCTATGCTTCTGTGATTCCTTTTCTCAGTACACGGAACTTTCTGGTATTGGTTTTGCCACTAGGTTAAACCTGTCTGCAGGTACCATCAGAAGGCTGGTCCTTCTCACTGAAGCTTCCTGTGGTCTCCTGTGAAGTCATGTAAGTCTTCACTTGGAGCTGAGGACACCAAACAGGAAGACAAGACTGGGTGGTGGCCTAGAGAGGGAAGACATGGCATGTGACAGGTGGGGACAGAGAGATGGGTTAAATGAGTCTGGAGGCTGGTGGTAACTCTCCAGAATCCATCTCCTGTTGAGCCATGCTTAGCTCTGTTGACATAGAATGTGCCAACACCTCATACAATTCTCAGAGGACCTTACTCCACCATGACCCTGGGCCATTTGCTATGCCTGGACCTCTCTGTCTGTTTCCAAGAAGCAGCACTCTATGGGGTGAGAGCTGAGGGGATAGGAGGTAGGATGGTCATGCACTTGCATTGTGGTTTGGTGGGTATGTTTGAAGACCTAAGTTCCCTCTCTCCCCCTAACTCCTCCTCTCTGAGCGATGAGCCGGGTGACCCACTTGTTTTAGACGTGACCCTGGTGGAAGAGAAACACCTCTGGATAAATAATACAGGGTCACAGATACCAGGGGCAGAGCGCTGTACCAGATACCAGGTACAGAGTGCTGCACCTGGGGGCCTGCTTGGCACTAGCACTCGATGTCAAGATCTCATCTCGCCTTCCAGCCATCCAGGGACTTCCTGTTTCATAGATGAGGAAGGTCAGGCTGGGTTTAAGGATCAGACCTGCCCGCATTCCAGAAGGTTCTGAAGCTAAGGCCATGCTCCTGATCACATTACTGTACAGACACTGGGAACAGGTTTTGCTGGGAGACATTGGGAATGTTGTTTCTAGGCAGGGACTGTGCAGTCACAGTCATGTACTACATGATGCTCCTGTCAAGAAGCACTCAGATATGACAGTGGTCTCATAAGATGACAGTAGTGCTACCCTACGCAGGGCACCTTTTTTTCCCTTTTAAACCATATTTCTACTACAGCTGTTCTCTGTTTAGATACCTGTGGGTATGCACATGCTTACCATCATGTCACAGTTGCCTATGGTGTTCAGCACAGTGGCATGCAAGACAGGTCTGTAGCCAGGAGCAACAAGCCACACTATGCCACCCAGGTGTGTGGTGGGTACACCATTGAGGATGTAACCTGTCATGACAATGACAATGGAATGACAATGACATTGCATGACAATGGAATCAACCAACGAGTCTTTTCTAGAACATTTCCCTGTCATGAAGGGACACAGGATCCTTCTGTTCCCAGTTCGCGGATGCCAGGATTCCTTAGAAGCTGCCTATGACGAGGCCCAGTGGGGTAGCTACCAAGGCAGGAGCGGGAGGAGTTGGGGTCTGATCTCAGTGCAGAAAACACTTAGAGATGGAAGCAGATTGGTACTTAGTCTGACTTCTAGGGTAAAGAGCTCACCCTTTCTGAGCTTTGATTTCCTCTTCTGTAAAATGGGGCAATAACACTCATCCCATTTGACTCAGATTTGCTGTGAGAATCCACTGAACTAATACTTATGCTTTGGAAACTGTGAAATGTTCCATGCATGTTAGAACAACATGACTTACAGGAGTTGGGTCACTGGGCGACTGTGTTTCCATTAGCGCCCTAGGCCCTGGGAAGTTACAAAGTGGACCCTTTGCTTTTTTCTCTGAGGTATGGTCCTGATGGGAGCAGAAAGGTGCTGTGGGAATTGAGGGCAGGCACGCTCACTCAAATAGCATGGCCAGAGGAGACCTCCCAGAGTGCACAATGTAGAGTAGAGCATTTGTTATAATTGTTTTTTTTGTTTGTTTTTTTTTTTGAGTTGGGGTCTCACTCTGTCCCCTAGGCTGGAGTGCAGTGGCACGATCATGGCTCACCACAGCCTCATCCTCCTGGAATCAGGTGATCCTCCTGCCTCAGCTTGCTGAGTAGGTGAGACTACACGCATGAAACACCATGCCCTGCTATTTTTAAAAATATTTGTCGACTGGGGTCTTGCTATGTTGCCCAGGCTAGTTTTGAAATCCTGGGCTCAAGCGTGCCTCCCTCCTCAGCCTCCCAAAGTGCTGGGATTACAGGTCTGAGCCACTGCACTGGCCCAATTTTAAAGGATTATATTTTATTTATTTTGAGGAAAATTTATTTTGCTTTGAAAAGGAAAGCTAACTAAGAACTTAGGGTGCCAGATGTTTCTGTGAGCTATGGGACTCTTACTCCCGAGGAGGGGTTTCCCTCTCTTAAAGTGGAGGAAAGAGGCGCTTTTATGCTGTCCTGGCTTCTCTTGCCACCCTTGTCCTACCCTACCTTTCTCAGAATAGAGACCCCAAAGGAGGACACCCTCTCCTGAGCTTGGGGGTTGGCAGGATCATCATCTCAGGGTGCTGGACAGCCTCTTTTTCATTCTTTTATTGAACAGGAAAGATACTAATCCAGAATTTTCAAAATGATGACAAATTCTGATGAATAAAAGTAGCTATAGTAGTTACAAGGTCTGAAATAAAAGGAATTATCAGGCTTGCTTTGAGAGATAAGGTGACCCACTGGCTGTTCCAGAGAGGTGACCTCTCCCATTCCAGCGGTGAGTCCCCTAGTCACCCCTACCCTGGGAGGGCCTAGGCGCTCAGACAGTCCATGCTTAGAGAACCCACTGTCCACAGATCTCAGAGGGAACTTTGCACACGCACAGGGAGATTCAGAACAGCATGTCACCCTCCCTGTGTTCATTGACATGGCCCTGCCTTGGTGGCTCCGGGAGCCCTGCCTGGCGGTGTCGTGGGGTGATGCTGTGCTCAGTGAGAGTTCAGTCTCATGACGGTGTTGGCCGGCAGGACTGGGTGACGGCGCTGAATGAGCCCACTGTTTGGCTCCACACAAGGGCTCTTTTGTGTTGACCAAGAGCAGCCACGTTCAAGTTTGTCTTGCATTCCCCTCAGGGATGTTTTTGGACTTTTGGGCCTGGAGAATTAAGCACAACACCTATTCTGAGCTAATCTGTACAGTTTTGTTCTTGGAGTGTAACCACAGCTCCTTGTGTTTCTAGAATGTAGAGAATAATCATCATACATGTGGAGGCTTCTCTGGCTTGTTAGGTTGAGAGTTGGGTGCGGGGTAGAGTCTTTGGCATACCCAGGGGCGGGGTCTACACGCCTGTTCATGGGGAGGCATGCATGGCAGCCCTCTTCCATTTGTGAATATGTGTTGCCTAGTTCATGGACTTCTTTACGAAATATGTTATCTTGCATAGTTAATCAAAGTTGTATTTTAATATTTAATATTCCCTTGTGAAAGGGCATGGTTTACTCAGGAGTATAGTGGAAAAATGCCAGGTATTTACAGGCCTCTTTCAGCTTTTCTTTCTTCTTCTTCTTTTTTTTTTTTAATGCCATACATTTAGTACTCGGAATTAAGAGTGTTAGTTTCTGGTTTCTTACACAGAATTTTATCATTTTAAAAGCTGTGCAAGGAGTCTAATTTAAAAACTGGGGAGTAGTTTATGCACTGGGCAGTGTGGCACTTTAAGAGCAAAAATGCAATCCACTAATTTCTAACCTGGGACTTGTTTTCCTTCAGTCTGCTAGCTTGATTTCTCAGGTTAGTTCTAATAATATAAACATTGTTGTGTTTATTTATAGGTGGCTTTAACCAAGAGAGCGGACCCAGCTGAGCTTAGAGCAATATTTTTGAAGGTCAGTATAAGGAAATCTACTTTGTTTCTTTTTTTTGATTTGTGTCCTGTAACTTTTAAAGATCATTTTCCAACAGTTCTTTGTTTCATTGTTTTATATATATTTAAATCCCCAGAAGTGTCATAGGACTCATGAAGGAGATCCTTTACATGGTCTCTATTTGTCAAGAGATATATATATAGGGAGCTTGGAGGCTGTCTATGTTGACAACGTGGTTTATATTTTCACGTCTCTCCTTTTGCTGGTGTCAGGTATGGGAATAAAAGCAGCTGCTGAGAGGTTTAACCTTGTGACCCATGTACCTTTCCAGGACTGACCTGTGTGGGGTGGTCATGGTGCATTTTCTCCCAAGAAGGTGGAAACTGCACGCATCTCAGTAACCCACTCACCCCATGGAACCTGTCCCTGCTGTGCATGGCAGAAGCCCATCACGTGGGCACCAGCACCGTCACTTCTTACTAGTGTTGTGGTGCCTGGGAGACCTTGGTGTGAGTGGTAGGTGCTGGGAGCAGAAGACACCCTGCAAGCTTATTTCCTTGGCGTCTTGTTCTTACTCCTGCTTTGTGATGCTGGGCATTGAATGACGGACAGAGTCCAAGTCTACCTCGGCTCCCAAACACAGATGCACCTGCATGTGAGTCCTCTGAAATCAAAGTATCAGAGAAGAAGAGGCCACTTCTGTCTCTTGGCATGATGAGGAGGCAGTGGTGCTATCCAGAGAGGATCCCTGCATCATGTGAGAGATGAGGCACAAATCGAAGATGGTGTGGGAGGTCATTCTGTGTACCTTGCTTTCCCTGTCAGGATGAGTCACTGTCACCAAAGAAATGGAGACATCACAGAATGCGAACACTGACAGGATATTTGATATTAAGGGATCATTATTGATTTGGGGGGGCTTGATAATGGTATTCTGATTATGGAAAATGCAGAGTCTGGGTTCAAGAGGTGTCTACTGAGGCGTTTGCAGGAGAGCTGGTCATGTTGGAGATTTGCTTTACCTAATCCAGCTTGGGTTGGAATGTGGGTGGGTGGTGTGAGGCTGGATTTTGAAATTGAGAAATGGAATACTGGGGCAGTTATACCCGTCCCTGCATTTTGTATATTTGAGTGTTCTCATGATGAAAAGTTTTAAAAGTTGTAATAAGTTACTGAGATAACTTAGGTCAGAGTGTTCAGCACCAGATGTGCATCAGATGTTGCGTCAATAAATGCTTTAAATTAAAGTATCTAAACAAAGGAGTGGTAAATCCTCCAAAAGAAAATAGGGACAGTTTTCCTGGGAGGATAAAAAGATAAATGTACAAAGAGGTTTAGAATATACAGAAAAAAAACAGGATTCTTTATGAATGTGTTTTGGGCCCAGAAGGGGCAACACAGTGTAGAGTTTGTGAGGTGGATAGGACTCTGGGTGACGCACGTGCAGGAGCGGGGATGTGCTTGTTCCTCTGGGAGCTGACATTCTGCTGTGAGCATGGGCCACCAGCAGGTGGGGAGCCGGTGTCACTGGTACCTGAGAAGGTGCTGGCATGTGAGGTCTGTGTGTCAGAGATCTATCTGTGAACATATAAAATTCTGAAGCTTCAGCCACAAGAGAACTGTGTGGGCTGCCGAGAGCCTACAGAGGTGGGTAGAGGCTCATGAACTTGAGCTGACAGAGCCCTTACCATTCTTGAACTCTGGACCTGTCTGTTGCTTCTTTTTATTTTTTTATTTTTTTAAATTTTTGAGTCGGGAGTCGGGATGCTCACTCTGTCACCAAGGCTGGAGTATAGTGGCACAATCATGGCTTACCACAGCCTCCACCTCCTGGGCTCGGATGATCCCTCTTCCTCAACCTCCCAAGTAGCTGGGACTATAGGTGTAAACTAAATTTTGGGGCTTTTTTTGTAGAGATGGGGTCTCATTATATTGCCCAGGTTGGTCTCAAACTCCTGTGCTCAAGAAATCTTCCCACCTCAGCCTCCCAAAGTACAGGGGTTATAGGTATGAGCCACTAAGGCTGGCCCAGCTTCTGTTTCTAAACAAACCAGAGAGGCGGGCATCCTTCTGACGGGATATGGGAACACCTGAGGCAGTGTCTTGAGAGATGGTATGTCTTTGATCCATACTGGTCTGTTAGTGTGATCCATTGATGAGACTCATATCAAGGCTGTATCCACCCACGGAGGCCGCGTGGCAGCTGACTAGGCCAGGCTGAGGCCTTGATTTGGAACAGTATGTCTTCATCAGCTCTACACTAACTCTCAGGAGCAGATGGGTCTACACTGGGGCAAATCTACTTGGTCAGATGAACCCAGGGAGGGTGGGAATTCCTCAGAGCCTGGAGGGCCCCCACCAGACCTCTGCATAGGTGAGCCTGAGGCTGGGGTGGAATCTGTGAACCCGCTGGGGAAAGCCTCTCTTTTCTGGGAGTGGCTGGGGCTAGTGGCCCCTGAGTAAGCATTCCCTGTGACTGAGGAGAGGATGTTGTGTGACCACACCTGAAGAAAACACAGTCAGCAGTTTGTGGAAGAGTTTGTGGACCTGGAAAAGGTTCTGGTGACCCTGCCAGGCCTGGGTATTGTGGGACCAGCACAAGTCATCCTGGGCTCAGCATGCTAGCAGCCTCATGTTCGTCATCCACTGCAGGCAGGTTCATGGTAGGGGCAAGAGTGGGCAACGTTGTACCGGGGTGGGGGCTGTGCCGGCTTTGTGGAAGCATGTGGGTTGGCGGTAAACATTCTGGAAACCCGTCTGCTAGGGTGACTTCCTGTGACTTGATTTTCTTCCTAATGAAAATTCCATGTGAAGTGTCCCACCCTATCTCTCCTCAGCTAGGTAGGGAGGGTTTTTCTGCAGCTGGAGAACTGGGGGGAACTTCCTCGTACCCTCAGCCCAGGTGTACCCATGGCAGGAGCTGGCAACTCTGGAGGCGAGAGGGGACCAGAGGGACAGCGCCAGACCAGCAAGGAGTATGCAATTGAGCTTTGTGGGAAGATTTAGAATCAGTTCCACTGTTTACCATATGTTATGTTGTGTTAGGTATTCAAAGGAAGACCCAAAAAAACCCAGAATTATCTTTTTGGAGGATGGGCCCCTTGTAGTACAGGCTTCCTCCTCTAGGTAAGTGTTCTAGAGACCCATTGGAATTTGTGGACCAGCTAGTATTGTTGTGAAATGCTGCATTTGGCTTCAGTGAATTTTTTTTGTTGTTGTTAAGATTCTTTCAACGTGTTTACCCATTTCATGATGGGTGATTTATGAATATACCTGCCCGTACTGCGATGGATTTTCAGCAGTTTTTAAACAAAAAATGGCATGACCCCCATACCCCACCCTCCCTATTCACCCAATCTCATCCCAAATGACTTTTTTTTTTCCCGGATGCAAAAATTCCTCAGAGGGAAATGTTTTGCCCATGTGGAAAAGATGAAACAAAAAACGGCAGAAGCACTAAAAGGCATCAAAATGAACAAGTTCAAAAACTGTTTTGAGTCATGAAAAAAGTATCTTGGTAGGTGTATTGCATCCAACGGAGAGGACTTTGAAGGTGAAGTTTAGACATGTAAGAATAAATGCATTCTGGGTTTTTTGGGGATCCCCTTGTATAACAATGCAGGAATCATGGCTCCTGTCCTTAAATATCAGAGTGAGAACTGTGGGTAAGTGAAGGAAGCCCAGAAGACCCTGATATGGCTGCTAAGTGCTACACTGTGTGAATGAGCAGGAGATGGTGGGGGCTGGTGTTGTCTTCCTACAGAGGATCCCTCAACCATGGAGGCAGTAATGTTGGTATGCTTGAAAGGGAGTCAGCATTCACCAGGTGGAGAGGTGGAGGAGGGTTTGTGGGCACAGGAAGGGCTTCCAGGCAAAAACCAATCAACACATGACCCAACGTGTGCAAAGCAAAGAGCTGGCAGAGTGCCAGGAGTGTGGAGGGGATGCTAGCACTCAGGCTGACCTGGAGCATGGGGTCTTGGGCCATGGCACGAATGCCTGGGTAGGAGAGCAGACTTGGTGCAAGGTGTCGTCACCAGGCTAAGGCAAGGTGTTCTCATGGAGAGTGGTGGGGGATGTGTGTCTAGATGTGGACAGGGAAGTCTAGGAAGTCAGCTTTGTTTCTAACCATCATGCTCACATGCGTTTTTGTTTCCCTGATGCTTGTGGTGTTACTTGAGATTAATTTAAACAGATGTGTGTTGAATGCCTGTAGTTTAAATAAAACCCTGTGAAACTGCAGTGCGTGGGAGGTGCAGGGTGTCACACCATGGCCATGTCTTCAGGGAGCAGGTCCTATGCAGGAGGCCAGGTTGACAGGTGAAATGGGGAGCAGAGAGGCTACGCCAGCAACTTGCTGGGGCCACACGTGTGGATGAAGCATATGCCACAGGAAGTGGACAGAGGGAGCAGCCTCCATTTTGGTGGGCTGTGAGGAATGGCTCTGAGGAGAGAACCTGAGCAGCCTCAGCCAGGGGGAGAGGAGAAGAGCACATCCGAGGGAGGCCTAGGATGCTTGGGAGAAAACAGCCTCCCCAGGCTGTAGGGTTCTGGCTCATCCTTCAGATGTTCTTGTAAATACAAGTCTGTGCTGAGGCTGTTCAGTAGACAGGGTGTGGTGACAGCACTGGAAGGTGGTGGGAGTGTGGAGGCCACACAGCAGTAGAAAGCCATGAAGGTTTGCCAAGTCATCCCAGAGGGGAGGATGGGTAATGGATGGGAGTCATGCAGCCTCAAGGTTGTGGGAGTGGCAAGCTAGACATGTGCTGAAGTGATATTGGGGGAACATGGTAGGAATGGCAAAGTTAGAGACATGCTGAAGGGATATAGGGGGAACTTGGTGGGAATGGCAAGTTAGACACATTCTGAAGAGATACTGGAGGAACTTGGCAGGGATGGCAAGTTAGAGACATACTGAAGGGATATTGGGGGAACGTGGCAGGAATGGTAAGGTAGAAACATTGTGAGCGTATATTGCGCAACTTGGCTGATCTTTTGAAATGGAGAGATAGAGACTAGTA